ACAGGCTTGGACAAATAAAATACAAGTCGGTGAAGACAAAATCTACCGTGTGGCCTCATTTGTAATACTGCATACAGTTCCAGTCACCGCACCTCAAAGAAGATATTATAGCACTGGAAAAAGTGCCAGAAAGGGCAACTAAAATGATTGAGGGAATGGAACACCTTCCCTATGAATAAAAATTAAAGAGATTAGGGCTCTTTAGCCTGGAGAAAAGATGTTTGAGGAGTGACAAGAGGCTTACAAAATTGTGCATGGGATAGAGAAAGTAGAGAAAGAAGCACTTTCCTTCCTTTCTCACAGTACAAGAACTTGTGGACACTCAATGAAATTAATGAGCAGTAGGTTAAGAACAGACGAAAGGAAGTCCTTCTCCCAAAGAGTAACTAATATGTGAAATTCACTGCCAGAGGAAGTGGTGGCGGCTATAAGCATAGACAGCTTCAAGAGGGCATTCGATAATCATATAGAGCAGAGGTCCATTAGCCACAAGCCATCGAGGGCCTGCCAGCAAAGCCCCCTCTAAGCTGTGGACAATGTTCCCTCTAAGCTGTGGAGTCTTGTGAGCCAAAATTCTACTTTGTGAGCTACTGGCATTAAAGTTGTGAGCAAGTGATTTGGCTACTGCATAAATCAGTTTGCTCTGGAGCCACCCTTCCTGAGCGGAGACAAAACTGTATGAGCCGGAGGCTGAAAAACTGTGAGCTGGCTCACACTAACTCAGCTTAGAGGGAACACTGGCTCTGGAGTCTCGTGAGCAAAAATTCTACTTTGTGAGCTACCGGCATTGAAGTTGTCAGCGAGTGATTTGGCTACTGCATAAATTAGCTTGCTCTGAAGCCATCCCTCCTGAGCTAAGACAAAAATGTGTGAGCCGGAGGCTAAAAAACCGTGAACTAGCTCAAACTAACGCAGCTTAGAGGGAACACTGCCTGCCAGATAAACATTGAAAAAATTCAATATCTCAAAGAGGATAGCCTTGCTTTCCTGTCATATTTTTAACTTTAATGAGGATTCATGTTCTCCTATTGACAGTCAGTCTCACATTGCCTAGAGCAGCCAGTCGGGAAGCAGACTTTGTACCCCAAGGACCATTCAGAAGTAGTGTAAGTAGTGGAGGGAGGGCTGTGCAGAAGATATCCTGCATACCGAAGGGGGTGATAGGGCCACAGGAGAACTGTCAGTCAAGTTGGAGGGGCATCTGGGCTGGTCTAGAACGCAGTCAGATGTACCACAGACTGGGTGACCACCTGGCCCCCGTGGGAGGCAGGGACACTTCTACCTATGGCAGTGGTACAGAATTGACGGCAACCACTCTTTTTGCTGGTGGTTCATCTCGCAGTGAAGTTATTTCCGACGCTGGCTTCTCTTTCTTAATGTAAACGTGGCCCTTTCATTTTTAGATGCCGGAGCGAAATCTTTTGGGTGGACCCCACTACTCTTATTGTACTGCAGTGGTAGAGTAACGATGTGTGTTATATTCTCACCTTGTGGAGTGCCCTTCGCAGGGTAGTAGGACAAGTCATTCCCGGTCTGGCAGAGGGAGTCATTGTTGGTAAAACAGGTCAAGCTAAAACCCTCTTCTAACATTCCTCATTGACCTGAGAAAAGCGTATAAGCTATCTGTGATCTACTTCACTCACCTCACTGGCTTGTCACCTCCTTTTCATTTGCACTGTGTGCCAGGGAAGCTTTCCCAGAGAAATGCTGTTTCTCTCTTTCTGCCACAAACAATTGTTCTGTCAGAGCAGTGTAGGATGGTACAGGACCTCATTCCCAAGGAAGTGTGTCTAGATGACAAGCCTTTTAACTCATGCACTCTCTACAAGAGTTAATGTATTTCATTCTCTGTTTGTGTTCCATTTTTTTCACAATGTCCATGCTCGGTTTCTCTTTCTTTCAGAACCATATAAATGCATGGAGTGTGGGAAAAGCTTCAATAGTAGTACACAGCTTACTTCCCATCAAAGAATTCACACAGGGGAGAAACCATATAAATGTCTAGAGTGTGGGAAAAGCTTCCATGAGAGAGGTCACCTTACTTCCCATCAAAGAATTCACACAGGGGAGAAACCATATGAATGTGTGGAGTGTGGAAAAACCTTCCGTCAGAGAGGTAGCCTTACTGCCCATCAAAGAATTCACGCAAGGGAGAAACCATATAAATGCCTGGAGTGTGGGAAAAAATTTAAGAGCTGTACATATCTTACTTCCCATCAAAGAATTCACACTGGGGAAAAACCATATAAATGCCTGGAGTGTGGAAAAAGCTTCAGGCGCAATGACTGCCTTATTGCCCATCAAAGAATTCACAGAGGGGAGAAACCATATAAATGCCTGGAGTGTGAGAAAAGCTTCAGGCGGAGTAACCAACTGACTTTCCATCAAAGAAGTCACACAGGTGAGAAACCATATAAATGCCTGGAGTGTGGCAAAAGCTTCTGGAGTTCTACACATCTTACTTCCCATCAAAAAATTCATGAAGGGGAGAAACCATATGAATGCCTGGAGTGTGGCAAAAACTTCAGGACTCGTGCACATCTTACTTCCCATCAAAGAATTCACACCGAGGAGAAACCATATAAATGCTTGGATTGTGGGAAAACCTTCCGTCGGAGTTCTGGCCTTGCTCACCATCAAAGAATTCACACAGGCGAGAAACCATATACATGCCTGGAGTGTGGAAAAAGCTTCAAGACTAGTTCAACTCTTACTATCCATCAAAGAATTCACACAACAGAAAAACCATATAAGTGTCTGGAGTGTGGAAAAAGCTTCCGTCAAAATATAGGCCTTGCTAGCCATCAAAGAATTCATGCAGGGGAGAAACCGTATAAATGCCTGGAGTGTGGAAAAAGCTTCAGTCAGAGTGGCAATCTTACTTCCCATCAAAGAATTCACACAGGTGAGAAACCATATAAATGCCTGGCATGTGGAAAAAGCTTCAGACATAGTCAGAATCTTACTTCCCATCAAAGAATTCACACAGGGGAGAAACCATATAAATGCCTGGAGTGCGGAAAAAGCTTTAGTCAGAGATCCCACCTTACTACCCATCGAACAATTCACACAGGGAGAAAACCATATAAATGATTGGAATGTGGGTAAACCTTCAAGAGTAGTATACATATTACTTCCCGTCAAAGATTTCATACAGAGGAGAGCAATGGTCCCATAGATCTGTAAGATGTAGGCCCTGAAAGACTTTGTAGGTAACAAGGACTATGAAAAGAACCAGTAGCCTAAAACGTTTCCATAGGATTTACTCAGCTATGTATGATATGTGTTCTATGCCTGGCCCTGGATAATAATTAAGTTGCAGCATTCTGTATCAGCTGGGTATTCTGGCTTCATAATTTAAGTAATTTTGTGAATCACTTTGTACAGTGCTACCCTATTGCCTGTATGGAAAGCTCTCTGGAATAATTTACTTTTGATGTGCGGAAAGCCAGGAGAGTGGGAACCATCCTGACCTCCTCAGGAAGACCATTCCCCAAGGTATGGGCCAGAACAGATAAGGCACATGTACAGGCAGTGGTTGATTTTGACCATTTGCCAGTTGGCACCTGCAGAAGACCCTGCTCAGATTAGTGAAGCTGTCATGGTGGAGCATAGGGGGAAAGACCTATGTAGGACCTGAGATTTGGAGTGGTGGCGCAGGCGGTAAAAGCCTGCAAAAAGTAATCTATCACTGAACAGCCTAATGGCTGTTCGAGTCCCACCGCGGCCGGGGTGAGCTCCCGGCCCTTGTCCTAGCTCCCGCCCACCCAGTGGTTCAGAAGCCCTTAAAGGTAAGTAGATAAATGGGTACCCACCCCTAGGTAGTGGGGGGCACCCTACCGCCAATGAAAAATTGGAGTGAGGTGGCTGAGTGGTGGCGGCGAGGCGGCGACCTGGCAGGGAAAACATGGCCTTGGGCCGGCGACGGGCAGCAGAGCGACTTGAGCGGTGATTGGTCCGGGCGTCGTGGTGGCATGGTGATGCAGCATGGTCGGAGCCTGCGGGACAGAGACCAACGGCTACAGCATCGCGCAGCCGTGCGCCGTAAGACCACCCCAAGGAGCCGATGGATGAGAGAAAAAGACCTCCGCCAAAGACACCGCCGACTGGATATAGCAAGAACCCGCCATGGAAAAGAACTAAAAATAATAATTATATATATATCTCGGCTGCTTAGGTGCCTGGTAAGGCATTCACCCACACACACACACACTGTCGCCCTAGGTAGGTGATTAAATGTTCAATGTAAACCGCTCCGAGCCTTCGGGAAGGAGTGGTACAGAAGCCTAATGTGTAATGTAAAAAGACGGTCTTGCAAATCTGAGGGTCCAAGGCCGTGAAGGGCTTTGTATGGGATAGCCAGTATTTTAAATTGAGCCTGGTGACTGATGGGGAGCCAGTGTATTGACTGCAGATTGGGAGTACTATGAATGCTCCGTCTCGCTCCTGATAACAGCCAAGCTGCTGTATTCCGCACCAACTGGACCCTTTCCCCTCCATTCCACGCTGGACCATCCTGGCATACTTAATCCCTTTTGGGAAAAGGACCATCCCGTTTGTACAAGGCCACCTATTTGACATGGAGGTTCAGAGCCATGACCAGGTGCTCGATGGAGGTGGGACTATATTTTATTCGGCTCTGATTGGCAACAGTAGCCTCTGACGTCAGAGATGGGGATGCATGAGATTGGAGAAATTCGCCTGTCATTCTTAGAAAGGAGGAGGGCTTAGGTCCAGTTCCCTTGACTGTAGACATCTGGAGCTTTGAGATGTTCCCTCTTCAGTTTCCAGTCTTCAGTGCATATTGGGTTCACAGCAGGTTAGGGTAGGAGTTAACAACCCCTCCAACCTCTTGTTAACTGCAAGGATCTCTGCACATGCTCTGAAGATCCAGCTGCAGTGTAGGTAATGTGTGTTAGCTAGTTCATCACTGTTGTTTTTCATATGACCCTCTGTGCTGTTGTTGCTGTGTGCTTTTCCATCAATTATGTTTTTCCCCACCCCTTTTTTTGAACCCAACCACATTTTTTCATTATTTTTCTGTCTTTTATAATAAACGTTTTTGTATAAATATATATATTTTTGCTTTAATATGTAGGATTTCTTTCTGTGGCATACTTCTCTCAATCTGTAGACTGCATGGGTGCTGTTGGTTTGGTTCTAAGGTATTTTCTAAAGTTTCTACCCTGGCAACCCTTCCTGCCCTCCCTCTCATGACCTGCCTAAGAGCGCCCCATTTAGTACTTCCCTTCCTTTTCTCCCCTCGGGCTCTTTGCTCTCTGCTCGGGACTTTGCCTCCTGGAGAAGGTGCCCTTGTCTGCAAACTCGGCAGTCGGAGTCCGCATCAGTCCCAGGCAAATTCAATGCCCAGACCCCCCCCACCGCGCCCCCCCCCCCCCCGGGACTGGGTGGGGGCACAACTTACCCCTCTCCCTGGAAGGAGGATGGATATATATCCCACCCACCCTCATTCTGCATACGGAGCAGAAGTCCATCAGTGGCTATTAGCCACGAGGTATTGGACAGGAACTCTCAGTCTGGGGCAAGGCTCCCTCTAAGCGATGGAGTCCTATGAGCAAAGATTATACTTGATGAGCTCCTGGCATTAAAGTTGTGAGCAAGCGATTTGGCTGCTGCATGAATTCGTTTGCTCTGCAGCCCTCCCTTCCTGAGCTAAGACAAAAAACTGTGAGCCGGAGGCTAAAAAACTGTGAGCTAGCTCACACTAACTCAGCTTAGAGGGAGCACTGGTCTGGGGGAAGAGATGCCCTGTATTCTTGGTGCTTGGGGGGGTGGGGCCAACAGTGGGAGGGCTTCTAGTGTCCTGGCCCCACTGCTGGACCTCCTGATGACACCTGGTCTTTTTGGCCACTGTGTGACAGAGTGTTGGACTGGATGGGCCACTGGCCTGATCCAACACTGGCTTCTCTTATGTTCTTATGTTCTGTTGAAAAAAAAATCTGGACACACACGACCCAATCAGTTAAACAAGTATAAAGTCAACAGTCGTGATAGTCTGACCCAGAATCAAACAGTCATAAGACTTATAAAGAATACTGTTTATGTATTGCAATCTAAAGCACTATAACATAATACACAACGTCGTTTCCGGATTACATAACAACGTTTCAAAAAACGAATATTCTTAAAACAACAAGTCTTAAGAATATTAAATTTGGATAGGACGCTGATCTCAATTAACATTCAGGCTCAAAATATGCTGCTACGTTTCTACTGGATCCTGTAGAATTTAATATTCTTAAGACTTGTCTAACATTTATGAAACAGAGAGCTTTGGCACCACTATAATATCTCCTGAAGAAGATTCATTTTTTGAAACGTTGTTATGTAATCCGGAGACGACGTCGTGTATCATGTTGTAATGCTTTTTTTTTTTTGGTAAACAAATTTTATTTTTCTTAGGAATTCAACATATAGAAATAAACCATTTCATCCATTCCATTGTCTACCCCATTCCCATTTCCTCCCCTCCCTCCAGTGGCTTCCCGCAATGCTTCCCCCCCTACTCCACATTACTTTACATCATCAATTATATCATTTTCTTATGATTACAATCTTAAGATAACATCATTTGACTTAATATTGCTCTAAACATATTAAGTTTTGTTTCACATCCCAGTTCTTTTCCAAATATATTTTAAAGTCACTCCATTCTTGAAAAAACACATCATCTTCTTTGTTATTCAACTTTTTCGTAATTTTATCCATTTCTGCCATGAACAGAACTTTTTGTATCCAGTCTTCAATTTCTGGTACTTTCTCTGTTTTCCAAAATTGTGCATAAATCATTCTCGCAGTTGTAATTAAGTACCAGAATAAAGTCTTTTTAGTCGTATTGATTTCTTCCATTTTTAATCCCAAAAGCAGAATTTCTGGTGTCTTTTTGAAAGAGCATTTCAATATTTTTTGCATTTCTTTGTGGACTTTTGTCCAATAGTCTACAGCTTTCTCGCAAGTCATGTTGTAGTGCTTTTGATTGCAATACATAAACAGCATTCCTTATAAGTCTTATGACTGTTGGATTGTGGGTCAGACTATCACGACTGTTGACTTTATACTTGTTTAACTTATGTTCTGTTGAACCAGACACTCGCCCGGGAGAGGGTGTGCTGGGGGTCTAACCCCCCCCCAAAAAAAGCCATCCCGTTTTTCTCCCTGCCTAGTAGGAAGGGGACGGGATGCTGGCTGTGGAGGGAGGCTGTTCTCTGCCGGCCGTGCAGGCGTAGTGAGGCGCCAGGGCAGGCCATTGCCTTATGGCAATTGTATTGTTTTATTTATTTTTATTGTTATGATTTATTATTAATATTGTGACATCAGGAGTGACACAGTCATGTGCTCCCTACCGAAAAGTTTCTGGCTAGGGGCCTGTTGCCACAGGCTTTCACAGTCAGGCCTGGTTTTCAGCAGCTGGAATACCCCGCGAGCTTGGCCACTACACAACTCCCCCCTTGTTCAAGACCATTTATGAACAAATTAAATCGTACCTGCCCTAACACTGATCCTTGTGGAAACTCCAGTTGTTACGTCCCTCCACTGTGAGAACTGGCCATCTATTCCTACTCTGTGTGTTTCCTGTCATTTTAATCCCTCAGCGAACCTGTCCAATTTCCCCTTGACTGCTACGTTTACTCAGGAGTCTTTAGAGAGGTACCTTGCCAGATGGCTTTTAAAAATTTTATAGTTCTATAATACAGGTATGTAGAAATACATTAGATACAAAACATTTAAACATAAGATATACACATGGGCACATACGTGCACTGTTGGTGGGACTGCCCTAAGATAAAGTCCTTTTGGTTATCTATTTTAAAAGAAATCCAAAAGTTTACAGGAATCAACATACCATTACAACCCAAAATTATCCTCCTAAATTATTGGAAAGACATATTAATACCCCAAAGTAAAAAAGAACTACTTACATTACTTTTTTCGGCAGCAAAATTATCCATAGCCACGACATGGAAAAGCCAATCCTCACCATCATTACGATCCTGGTTTTCAAATCTTTGGAATCACTTAATTATGGATAAGATAACAGACAAATTAGATTCCTACCTTCCGACGTATAAATATGATGCCTTTTATGGCAGATGGTACCCAATTCTTGAAAATCTTGAATACATTTTGGGCCAAATAGGTGATTCTCAAAAAGATCAATATTACTCCTTTATCCGTAAAGATTGGATTCTGTAACTGTTATATTGATAGGT